GCACATAAGAAAATAAATATCAAAGTCAATGGTTCTCGAACATCTGTAACATACAAAGGATTAGTAACAAGAGAGGGGACACAACAATATGCACAATAAATAAATTAATAATATGCACAGTAAATAAATCACAGTATAAAAATCACAGTAAATGAATCACAGTACATAAGAAGATAAATATCGAAGCCTATGGTTCTCGAACATCTGTAACATATCTGAACATCTGTACATGGTTGTCGAATGCCTGCAACACACAATGGATTAGTAACAAGAGAAAAGACGAGTATGAGACGCGTGCCCAGTCTCCGCGACGGCTCACGAGAAAGGGAGGAAGCTAACGCCGTTATGTATTGGGCGTACGCAGGTTTGTTCGTGTTGAATTGTTTTTGCCGACTTGAACGACCCAAACACCAGATAGTACGGCCATGGTACGCGACGTACACGGCTAGGTCAATAAACTGTGTGACGCACATCACTAGCGCGCTAGACCGACGGAGAGCACCGATACAGTGACACGCTCTACCGTACTCTCTCGCTCGCACATCTCCCCCCATAGACCCCTGAAATTCCACGGCACGTGTCAACACCGACAGAGAGCACCGATACCGCGGTTCGCTCTACCGCTCTCGCTCGCACGCCGTGACGTCACCCGATTCCCGGAATCCCGCGGCCACGAGATGGCTCATTACGGTAAGGCATTCCCGCAAAGGATTGTAATGAATGGGAATAACATAATATGAAACTTCTTTACCTCTTCTTGAACATTCTAATTTCATAGCCCTAAACTGGGTACCTGAAAGTATTTCATTGAATTTGTGTAAAAGATTTTACTACTTCCTAAAAGACTCCGTGTGATATTTGATAGCCTAAAAAACAATCTGTCGATACAGGGTTTCGATTTATTTAGGAAACCAATCTGACCAGTTGCTGCATTCTTTGACACTAATTTTCAAGAAAATAAAACTTCTGTATTTCACTTAATTTGAGAGACACGTAGCTGAATATTAACATACGTTAATTATTTAATTACTCGCAATAAATAAAATTTTTGTAAGTAGATAACGTGTAAGTAAATTCATATGTAAAAATTTACCAATTGCCAGAAAGTAATTGTTCGTGCGTATTAAAATTCTTACAATAGGCAGTAAAACTATTCACACTCCCATATAAATTATAAATATGTAGATGTTAATGAAAGCGGTGTATATATTCTGCCACATGTAGATTTGGTAAACTATTTATAAAACTACATCTATTCTGAATTTATCTGTTACAAATATACAAATGTAAGGCAAGATATAAAAACGAATAAAACAAGAACATGTAAAAAGTAATATTTATAAACATGTCCATTAACGATGCATTTAGAATAAATTGTCTTGTACTTAAGTGAAAACATATATACTTTTCCGTTTCATGTTTTATGACTGTCATATTTATCCCTTAACCTTAAACTGAAGCATCGGATATTTTTATTCCCGTCAAATCATATAGATACACACAATATGAATGGAATAACACTTCATTTGTGCTAATAATACCCAGAATTCATGCTTTATCGGTAACGTCGGATATTGACACTAAAATGGTAACAGGGCTACGTAGCCCTATAAACGTGGGACAGAAAAAAGCATTGGATGATAGGTCTATTCTATACCTAGTCGGTGGTTGCATGTAAAGAACTGCTAGGTTTCTCCACCAATCAGAAACGATCACGAGAAATCACGAATCACTGTGAAAAATCACCGTAATTGGGAACGAACGTGATCGAATCACGACTGATTCACAAGTAGCAGTTCACGCCATCTCTAATGTATACACCATTTATGTAAACAGTTTTCTCGTATTTCAAATAGTTTAGGACAGGAAATAACTGACTGTATACTGTTCGCGCGGACACCCGGGTTAGTTATTTGCAGTTTGAAACATGTTTATTAAATTTATTACATAGCGTACGTATACTATGTAATAAATTTAATAAACATATTTAAAATTGCGTACACCGAATATCAAATTTATCACACACGATCTCATACAGTAGCTACCAGTCATTCACTGTCTTGTCAAGCCGACTCTAGTATTAGCTGTGCTGAATAACGTGGCAACACCGCTCATCAAGGATTCGGGAATCCTATTTCCAATAGTAGAGTTTTATGCTCAGTGTTATAATTAAAAGTTATTTTTTATATAAAACCATACTAATACACAGTATTTTTTATTAATTATGCATAAGGAATACATAAATACCATAACTATAGTAAGTAGAAGTAATACAGAAGTATACTATGGTCTGTTTTTCTAAAGAAGAGCCCTGGAAGGTAGGCCCATAGACATATATGTATAGACGGAGCATTAGCTACCACTTTGGGCGAGGGGACCGTACGATTGGAGGGGAAAAGACAGTAGTCGTTAGATATATGTCGGTTAGCTTCGGATGCATTCGGCTCATTATGAATGACTGGTGGGCTGTGTGCCGTACTATTATTTAATGCTTTATACTATTTATTAATTTTGTTACCTACACATATGTATACAAACTACATGACATACAGAATTTTTAACGTATAATAAGTATATTCTTTTCATCTCTCATAGCATACATGTATGTAACGTGATTGTATACCCGAATAGTACCGAAATGGAACGAAGTTACCCGATTTATAACTAACCACCCCCTTACCGCGAATCTTACTCCACCGCTCAGTTCATGTTCCGTCTATATATGTCTATGCGGAGGATCGAAAGAGACACACAATGGCATTGAGCCGTCACAACGTCGCACGAAATACGCAGCTCACGTTGGATCCCCACCAGGCCACACGTCGAGGCAGGGCGACCCCCCGAAGGCTCTTATTTAGAAAAACAGACCATAGAGTTGGCTGTGGTCTTGTCTATTATCAATCGTTCCGAAATTCAAACGCGTCCCGGATTTCCGGCACTCATTTTGGTACTGGCCCTTATCACTTATGGCGCTGCAAATCGACCAAGAAAAATCTATGATATGTACCCCCATATGGTGAGACCCTATGGTGGGACCTGCCCTAGACGCGCGGGACCATAGACATTTGCACGTCGTTTTGTAGCCTCTAAAGCTTCAATCATAATTCCAGGTTCTCCGTGTATTCATTGATACCATCGTGAAATTGTTTTAGGATGTGGTAATGAATTATGAAATTTATGACGCATATAATAATACGCCTTTGGCGAATAAAAATGTAACGACAGTGCAAATTGCCGTAACGCAGCCTTATATTTTCTACTAACAGGCAATTTTTTCTTCTTCCTTATTTCACACTTAATTAATTCTCTTCTACCTTCATCTAGATATTTGAGTACATCATTCTCTTGCAATATCAAATTTTGCTTCTGTAGATCTTTAAGAACAGTTTGAAGCGATTTGACTCTTTCTCGTGCTCTCTTCAATTTACAAGAATTGACATATAACTGGTTTTTTAATTTTTTAATTTCCTTTCTGTGTACTTTGCGCAATCGAACCTTTGTTGGTGAATTAAAAATCCTTTCCGGAGACATACTTGTGGAACGGTGTTGATACTTAACCTTAATTTCCGTGTCAATATTTTCGTTTGTGCCCGCATCTACTGAAATGATGTTAAACATTACTTCTCTTTAAATACATTCTTAATATAATATATAACAATATATACTTTTTTAAACACAATATAAGTGAATGATACCATTAACACTTACCTATTTCATCATTGCAGATATTTGCCTCAATTGATGCCTTTTCTGTATTATTTTCCAGAGACATACTTGCAGAACAGTGTTGATACTCAACTTTAATTTCCATGTCAATATTTTCGTTTGTGCCCGCATCTACTGAAATGACGTTAAACATTACTTATCTTTAAATAAATTCTTAATATAATATATAACAATATATACTTTTGTAAACACAATATAAGTGAATGATACCATTAACAGTTACCTATTTCATCATTGCAGATATTTTCCTCAATTGATGCCTTTTCTGTATTACTTTCCAGAGACATATTTGTGAAACAGTGTTGATACTCCATTTTAATTTCCATGTCAATATTTTCTTCAGTTAACTAAAAAGTAAAATTAGTTAATATAAATAAATCTAGACCAATTGTAAATAACACAAATACTTATAAACACTGATATTATCTATGCTTTGCGCCCAATAATATTTGTGAATATATGTATGTTTTTCATCTCAATTGACTGTGCCACCAAATTATATAGTTTTAAAACATAGTCTGAAGCTAAAGCTAAAAATGTACAATCACATCATAGTTCCAATATTAATACATATTGATTAAAAATCCCAATCATTAGCTACTGTACTATAAAGGATATGTTGTGACAAATATAATCTCTGCCAGGATAAAATTATCAGCTACTGCAGTATTATGCAATTAATACAATAAGTTCATGATTCTTTATACGTACAAATGGAACAGCATCTTTTTTCAACTGACGACGAGAATATGTTAAATCATAATTATGTTCTTTAAAATGTTCGGAACAAACAGCTCCTGTTTTTGGTGGGCTATAATTTTCTAAATTCAGTGCCTTAAGCCACTTTTTTTTCCTCTCGATATCTTTAGGAAACCTAAAAAATAAATATTATATCATTAATCATATTATCTATTTAATAATGAAGCAACAGATTTGAATTTCTAAGATTATACAGAGTGAAACAAAAATAGTACTTGCCAAATAATGAAAGAAAGTTCTAATAAACAAAGGTTCAAAAATTAATATTTTCAAACTTATAAACAATTATCTGTTTCAGTTAAAGCAAGTGACTTTCTCGTTTCGGAAACTATTGTACTGCATGGAAACAACACAGACAATTATAAGAAACTAAAAAAAATTCATTTTTTGACCCATGTTTATTAGGACTTTCTTCCCATCATTTGGCAAGTACTATCTACCCCAGAAGTTATGAACCCTGTTTTTGTTTCACCTTTATATGGTATATAAATTGTTGGTTATGTATTTATATTTACTTACATGTGAAATGAAATAGTATAATTATTTATATTTTCTTTATCTAATTGTTCATAATTTTTCCTTGTTTTACGATTTTTGCAAGCGAACACAATACAAAAGCTCATGGTTGTTTTATTATCAACGAATACGTTTCACTCACAAATTTGGTCAAAACGATCGAAACCGAAAAAAGCAACACACACCGGCACGCAACAGCCCACCGAATGCATCCGAAAAGCTAATCCGAACATACCCCTCTTCTAACAGACCTGCTGGCAGCGGGCCGCTGCTGCTGCGGCGCCTTTTCCCCTCCAATCCTACGGGTCCCCTCGCCCAAAGTGGTAGCTTTTGCTCCGTCTACATATGCTATGTGCGGATAGAGGACGGAGGATGATTTTTTGAACTTGTATTTATATGAACGGAGTTAGGAACGAGTACTCGTGAGAAACGCGGCGCGACGAAGACCTCTGCCGGGTGCTTCCCGCACTTACCGGCCTGCCGAATGCCATCCGCACTTACCGGCGGACCCACGCGTCGAGTGACGTGCAGAAGTGAATAAATATTACTAAATTTAACAATATTTTTTTAAGTACATGTATTAGTTAGCATTATCGTAAGCGTGTATTTAATCTGTAATAAACATCTGATTTTTCACAAAATTGTATAAAACGCTAGCATTGTAAATAAATATAATATTAATCATAAAACTAGTAATTGGATACGTATCTTATATGATACTATAGTTCGAGGGCTTTTGATTTTATGGATGCTGCGCCATTTTTATTTATATGTGGTGGGGGGTAACAAAGTGTGCAGCATTATCCGTGAAATTTACGATTATTATAAACTGTTATAAACTTGACGAAAAGAAATGCTTGTTTCTGTAATGTAGCAGCAACACAAAATGCAATTGCCTTTAAGGTACATCAGAAACGTATGAAATTATTATACAGTTATTAATGCAATTGTTAGACTTCTGTGTTGTTAGTGATAACTACAAATTTTTCCACAATTGTAATTCGAATAAAATGGATTATCGCCAAAAGGTAAGGAAAGATATAATTTTGAAATTCGGAGACGTAAATGAAAATTTTATTACTATGTAATAAACACGGTGCGTGCTCTGTGTAATAATTATGCTTGTAATGCTGTCATAAATTATGCATAAAATTCGTTTCATAGTATTTTAAAAATTAGTACCGAATACGTGTTTTTACAGTGTTTTCTTATGATACAATCAAGAAATTTTATGTATGCTAGATATTAACTGTTAAAGATATTATTGTTAAAGCATCATTGAAATGAAAAGTATTATACTATGAACATACAAAGCTATATTTTTATTCTAATAGGAAACAAAGAATTATGTTTGCTTAGAAAAGATTTTGTTGACTTGTTATCATTGAATATAGTATTTTCTGTATTTGTCTACACTAAGTAGTCTGTAAAGATATTGAATGTTATGTTGTCAAATAATGTGTTGACTTTACCCCTGTTGCTTTAAAATATTATTTTATCTTTTCAGCAAAGTACAAAGAATGAAGATGAGGATGATGAGGATTTAGAGGCTCTGCGATTAGCAGCACTTCAATCATTAAGAGCAAAAGATACTGTACATTATAAAAAACAAACCCTGCCACAACTACAGAAAGTTGTTCCAGAAGTTACACAAACATCTCGTCCATCATATAAAGGACAGCGACCTCCAAGAAGAGGATACTTTCCCAACCAATTGCAACAGCGGCGGAATGGTGTAAGTGTCTATTCATTATTATATTATGCAGGTTATTGTATAAGTCATGGAACAGCTAGAAGAAAAAAGAATTATATATAAGTTACAATCGAAGTACGAGTACTAAAGCATAGTTAAGAATTTTGTGAAAATATGATTATATAAGAAGAATGCTTCTGTGATTGTAATTAGCGTCATGGTTTTCTTATTTTACTGTATCTTTGAAATATCCAAAACTATAACTTATTGCTTCTATTACAATTGAATTGAATTCATTACTATGAAAATACTGCCCGATGTAAAAGAATTTTGTCTCGTATATTCATTTTATTTGTTCATGTAAAATTATCATCCTTTTGGTTGTATAATTAAGTATGAGGCATGTAATATAAGTTATAGGAATGTAACATTATTGTCAAATTTTCAATGCAGCACAAGAATATCACAGTAGTAGAAATTACTAGTTAACAAATAGATTTTTAACATATATGTTTGAAAAGTAATAATTTTATACAAAAATGTTTCTCTAAAGTATGTAGCGTCTTGTACTCTATATCTTTAACATTCAATATACGTTTCTGATAATGTTAACCATTTTTGAGATGATTACAAAAGTAGTGCTTTGAAGAGTAACATTGTTAGATACAAAATTTAATTTCTCATAATAGGAGTATAATGGAGTAGGATTCATTAAGAGTATGTCTTTATAACTCTAGACAAAGTTAGAAATTGTGGATAATTGGATATTTGTGGAAAAATCATGTAAACTAAGGTCTGATTAACTAAGATTTACATAAATGACTTACCACATTTGTAGTATAAAATTGTGCAATGCAATTGTTAAAAATGTATTTATTTATTTAAACAATAAATTATTAATAAGTATATTGCACACTTTTGTAGAGCATAAGTAGACATTTAATTTTCATTGTAATGATTGTTTTGTATCTACTATACTTTTTAAGATATACAGGAAAATATAAAAACGCACATTAACATTGAAGAACTAAAAAATAACAAAAAACTTGCCTGACACTTCTATTGACGTCCCCTAAAACCCTACACAGTTTAAAAAAAATTGGAATCTTTGGGTGACTGAAGTTCCCTTGTAAGTAGGGTTAGAGAAACATCTAACTGAAGAAGTGTTTATAGCATTGCAGTTATCCGTTTTATTCTATTCGTCTTTTTATATTAAGGCACTATGTTTTTTATTTATGTAGATTTAAACAATCTCATATAGATTCTGGAAACCTCATTTATTTTTGTTTTGTCATTTAGTGTTAGATTGGGAAATAAATATTTGCTACAATTCATTTTAATTTTACAAAGTCTAGTCTTTATAACACAATAAAAAGAATTAAAGAAGAATTGGAACAACAGTAATTTTAACATGTCCTAATAACTACTTGTTTGACACCACCAGTTTGATAAAGATTGTTTTAATAGACATGTAAACATAACATTTCTACATTGAAATAAATATTGTATTTAATATGTCAAACAATTTTATTAATAACTATTCAATAAATATATGTTTAATTATTACATTGTTGGTATATATATTTTCACTTACAGAATTTGTATTATCAAAGTCCACGCAATCCAAACTTGATAGCAATAGTTCCTGTAGATGAGCATTCACTGCTTCAACAGACTGATCCAGTTTGTCCTGTAGAAGAGATTGCACCAAGCATTGAATCTCATTCAGTAGGTATGTAGAATCCTGAATCTATGTTACAAATATAGCACAATACTTGTGGTTTTTAAATCCTCCATTACCTTAAAAATATTTTATGATAATGATGTTTTTAGAAGTATCAAAGTTTCATCGAACTGATATGCAGACTGAAACATCTTCTGTAGTAATTGAAAGTTCAGTAGAAACTTTAGGAAGTTCGAAAAAAACAGAGGAAGATCAAGATGATACCAACGATGATGACGATGATATCCTTTTAATGGCTGATCTTGAAGAGGAGGATAGCTTAGAACGTTTAATGGACGAAATGGAACGAGAAATGAACGTTGATAAACCGTCTGAAAGAAAAGAAAAGAAGGGTAATAAAAAAGGAAATAAAGAGTCCGAAAAGAAGGATGAAGCAGGCAGAAATGCGAGTCTGAAAAATAGGACAGAAGATAGTAGTAGAAAAGAATGTTGCAGTCCATCTGTACCAGTTTCGAGCGTGATAAACGAAAGACGATCCATGTCTCCACACATCAGCCGAATTTTACAAAAACGTAGGTCGTTATCACCAAGATCGCGGTCACGAAAAAAATCACCCAGAAGGTCTCCTAGACGGTCACCTATCAGACAAACAAAGAAGTCGCAGCGAGAAATAACAAGGTATAGATCACCTCGAAAGTCGCCGGTACGATATTCTCCGCGTTCACGTTCGCCAAAACTTTCGTCGCGATCTAGATCACCACGATTGTCTCCGCGTAGATCTCCCAACAGGTCTCCAATACGAAGATCACCTATTAAAAACTCGTCTTCAAGGGGACGGTCGCCAAGGCAATCGAAATCTCCTAGACCAATACGTTCACCTAAAGCGTCATTAACAAAATCGCCAAGATCAGCGCGATCACGATCTCCAAAATATTCTCCACTGAAGCTATCTCCACAATCTAAGTCACCTTTAAGATCAAGGTCACCTAAATTATCTCCAAGACGAATATCACCACCCTCCCGCAGAACACCGCCCAAATCAAAATCTCCCGGACTTTCACCTAGAAGAGGGTTTTCACGTCTATTGTCACCAAAACATCTACAATCACCGCGACGAATGTCACCGCGATCTAGATCGCCAAGATTATCACCACATACATCGCCATGGTCTTCTCCAAGAAATTCTCCTCGTGCTTCTCCAAGAAGAAGAAGATCTCCACGATGGTCGCCTAAAGAGCTATCTCGAAAGCATAGGCCACGATCAGTTAGTTTAGATGATACTGGTAGTCCCTTATATATCAAAGAATCATCACCAACGGTAAAAAGTAGAGTATCTCCGGAGATAAGCCGTATAAAAATAAAACAGAAGGAAGAAAATTTGGAGAAAACTACTGTAATGGAAAAGGAGACTACAGATTTAAATAGCGACCCTGTGTTAGAAGCAAGGCGAAGGAAGTTTGAATGTGCAAGGCCTATAGATCCTGTGAATGCAAATAAAAAAATTAAATTAAATAAGCAAGAGAATGTAAGTAAGAAGACAGAATCTCTGGAAGGAGAAACACAATCTGGAAATTTAAGGAAGGTTAACAAAACTACAAATGATTACGAGATTCAGGAAACAGATTTATGTTTAGATGCTCATTATGAAGACTTCGAAGATTTTGAAGAAAGTATGGAAAATACATCTCCTATAGCTATCACGAGTTCCGTTAACTCGTGTATTGACGTAGAACCACCAAAAGTAGAAAAAGAGAGATCCTCCAAAAAAAAGAAGAAGCGTGATAAAGAATTATATCAAGTAGGAAAATTAAAAAGTGAACTTCCCCTATCTGAACGTATAGGAAAAGATAAAAAGTGTAAAAAGCGCAAAGATGTTGTTTCGGACGGACCAAGTGAGGAAATGGATGCAATATTTGAGGACATCACAATTGACGAGGAAAGTGACTTAAGAACTGAACTAAGTAGAAGACGAGCAGAAAGATTAAATAGGACAATACCGATTCAGTCTGCAAGATTAGTACAATCTGCTTTTAAGGGCGTTGTTAATGAGTAAGTAATTTAACCTTATTTCTTTAATACATATATTATTATATTAGTATTGTTTTATGGAATATACTATCTCATAACATGTTTGTGTTGGGGTTATTTCACGCGAAATTGGACACTTTTTGGAGCACCATTTCGGATTTTGTTCAAATTTGGATATGTCTTTAGCGATGTGTAAACGTATCTCGAAGGATTTTTGAAAATTTTAAAAATTGTTCATTTTACAGCTGTTTGAAATTTAGGGTTAACCTTTTTTCAATAAACCATAACTATTGAACTAAGAAACTGATCGAAATGAGCTTTCCGGGTACTTACAGTGGTGACATAAGAGTACCGAATAAACATTATTTCAGTTAAAAAAAATATTCCTTAACCGTCAATTTTGCAATTGTATTAAATAAATGTCCTGTTTTTATACCGGTGAACTATTTAAAAATTGAAAAAAAACGAGGATGTAGCCCTATTTGGCCTCTTTATGGCTATGTGTTCAAAAATATGGACACTTTAAAATTGGCCGTATGAAAATTAATTGAAGTGAACGCTGCGTCGATGCCCATCGACTCGAACGGACGAGTTGTATCGGCTAGCCTATGTAGTACCACATGGCTTGCTCGGGAGAGTCGTTGTAATCCGATGCAGTGTTCACTTCAATTAATTTTCATACGGCCAATTTTAAAGTGTCCATATTTTTGAACATATGTCCATAAACATGGCAAATAGGCCTATTTTTTTCCAAATTTTTAAATAGTTCCCCCGTATAAAAACAGTGCATTTATTTAAAACAATTGCAAATTAGACGGTTAAAAAATATTTTTTTTAACTGAAATAATTTTTATTCGTTACTCTTATGTCTCCACTATAAGTACCCGCAAAGCTCATTTCGATCAGTTTGTTAGTTCAATAGTTATAATTTATTGAAAAAAGATTGACCCGAAATTTCAAATTGCTGTAAAATGAATAATTTAAAAAATTTTCAAAAATCTTTCGAGATACGTTTAAATATCGCTAAAGACATATACAAATTTGAACAGAATCCGAAATGGTGCTCCAAAAAGTGTGCGATTTCGCGTGGAATGACCCGTTGACTAATGGTAAAAGGTAGTATCTTTGGAACTATAATCCTTGAGAAAATTGCGTTTTTTACCATATTGATCTCTTACATGGAACATTGCTAAAATATATCTCTGAAATAATTCTTCGATAAATATGACACATATTATTTTGTACTATCTGTTTATCATTATCTTTTGTAGTATCTGTTCTATTCGAATTTATTTAACAAAAACTATAAGTTTATACCGCATGGCGTATTATATCTGCATATTAAGGTATGTTTCAAATAATACTTGGAAACTTTTGACCTTTTTTAATTGTACATATACTTGGATGTATGTAGCTGGTGGTGCAAGCTTTTTCAAAAAACTTTTTTTCCGTCGGTCGGTGGTGTGGGGACTGTTGTAGTCATCTAAAATGGAAAAGCTAAGGTTTATTTTCTTTATTATGGTTGTCGTTATGGTTCGAACTACGGACGCCCCCTAAAAATAAAAATTTGAAAGATGATAGCATTTTGAAACAAGATTGTTTGATTTGATTTTTACTAAAAAGTAGCTGTTTTCGTCTTGTAAAATTAATGTTCTACAAGATAGAAACTCGTCTTAAAAAACCTTGTTTCGAGAAAAACGCGTTTAAAGTTTTTACTTACCGTCACGCCGTACGAGAGATACTACCTTTGGACATTTATATTTCTTTTAACAAATCGAATTTCATAATCGCTTTGTAGAAATGTTAAACTATGAAATAATGCAAAATAATATAGTTTTTTCGACCCTCTACACTAAAGTACCCCATTATAAACTATTTTTTATCAGGCAGGAAACAATGATTACAATTTCATTTTTCATAGACTGGTTTGACTTGTTAATAGCAGCCAAGCTGTGATAAAATGTATGTTACATGCTCAGCTTGTATGGCAGACTACAAGTAACAAAACTTATTTCAATCTCGCGGAAAAACTTAACCATAAGTTTTATTGAATCACAGCATAATCAAATTTTCTGCTCAGTCATTAATGTGTCTCTGCGTTTTCCTTTGAATGTTAATACCATAATAGTAGATATTAGGTTCCTTTTTAACATTATATGTACAGTAGCTAATATCTTTAAAACTATCATTTTTTTAATGAAGAAGTGTTCATTTAGAATTTTAATTTAGCTTTCTATATGCTTTTGATATACACTTTTATGTTCTTAAAAATGTTTGGTTTTATAAGTTTTAATAAGTTGTTTTAATAACTTTAAAAATGGTTTATTCTTTATCATTGTATTTTCTATGAATTCCAAATAAATTATTTCGTTCTGTGTTTCAGAGTTGTTAAAAGTAATGCAAAGACGAATCAGAGACATTTGATTAAAGCAGATGACAAATGTAAGTAATATATTTTATGAATCTATGTTTCTTAACCTCTCAACGCCGGCAGCCGCGGAACAAAAAGTAAGTTGTCGTGTCGGGTAGTATTTGCGAAACTATATTCTTGTTGTGCTGGTTAGGATACGCAGGAGGAATCTTTCTAACATAGGAAAATTATTATTGCTATAGTTTTATATTTTAATATCATTGTTTATTAATGTGTTTAAATGATGTTAACGCTTATAGAAATGTGAAATAAAATACGCATACATACAAAAATGCAATAAAATATAAAAAATACGCTAAACAATAAAAAAAATTTGTATAGTTACTACAACAGTTTTGGTCATATGTGACTAAAAATAAAATCGTGGAGCGCTCTTAAAAAAATTGTATTGCTTGGAAATATATTATGGGCGCCCCAGGATTTTATTATTAGTCACATATGACCAAGTAGGTATGCTGTAATAGCTATTAAAATTGTTTTTTATTTTTTGGTGCATGTTTTTTTAGTGCATTTTACTATAACCGAGTAACTTAAAAAGTTTTTTTTTATATATATTTTATTTGTGATATCCACTATATCGAAAAAGGAATAGAACAACTCAGTCTATAATTAGTGTTTACTTTAGTAAATAAATTAGTGTAAATTAATAACGAAAAATTTAGTGAGAAGGCTTTTGAAGACTGCTTTTGCTGTTATAAACAAAATATAAGCGTTTCATTACGATACTATATATGATTGTATATATGTATACCAATCAATAATACATACAATGCGTCTTATCGCATCGCCGTTCCTAGCAGTCCGTGGATAGGTAACTTGCATCGGCGACATGTGAAGAAAACAGGGTCTGTACCTCTTACGTATGCCAGCGTTGAGGGGTTAAACTTAAAGTTTTATGTTTTTCTTTAACCCTACGAATACGGTGTCGGAGTCATTTCTGATTCCCTCTTGCACACAGTGACAGAATCAGTGGTGGGGACACGCGGTCGAGAGAGCGACACGTACATACAGTGACGGAGCTGTGTGTAAGGCTACGGTATAGTGGATGCGTATTCGGATGAATAGTTCGTCGTCCGTATACAACACGGTCGTATATACGATATACGTATACAGCTAGTGATGGGTAATCTGGATGAGCTGCTCGAGCCAATGATTCACCTAACTCGGCACGAGCGCTCGAGCGAACTCGTGCAGCTCGACTCGATTACCCATCACTAACTGTATACGGACGACGGACTATTCGTCCGAATATGCATCCACTATAACCGCAGCCTAAGTCGGAACGTAACCGACCTTTGTAATATTGTATGGAAATGGCCTAGCTGAAACGCCTCAGAAGTATTGACTTCTGTCTTCGATGTACCCTGACGAGCAACTCGGCTTCCGCTAGGCAAAAAAGTGGCGTAGGGAATGGGCCTCTTACCACTTGGTATTGGGAAGGACTGAAATTTATGCCAAATAAATATTCGATTTAAGATTTATTTCAGTACTTGAAATAAATTTTGCATGAATAAATTATAAATAATATTTAGACTCTGTTTATATAAAAAAGTGAAAGTCGATAAAATTACACTTGTCCGTTGTACTTTTCTGCCGTCGAATTGTATGCAATTATTATTATTCGTTCGTATACGAATAATGAAGATCCGAAACGGAAAGGATACATACATCCACGAGCAAACTCGGCTTCCGCTAGAGGAAAAAGTGGCGTAAGGATAAGGGCCTCCTACCGCTTAATAAATTTACTTGAAATACTGAAACAAATGTTAAACCGAATGTTAATTTGGTATAAATTTCATTAACCCCGAGACCAAGTGGTAGGAGGTTTTTTCCTTACATAACTTTTTCTCCTAGAGGAAGCCGAGTTTGCTTGTGAGGGTACATAGAGTACATCTGCACACCGTTACTGTCTTAGTCTAGAATACCGGTGTGGCGTCGGTATTGACTCTCTTTTTTCCCAGATTAGCGTCATAGAGATTTTTTTTTCCAGCTAACCAAAAAGAAGTTAGAAGGGTAACTGTTCTTCATCGATCAATACCTGAAATCCATGATTCGGAAGGTTTGTATATCTCTATATTATTATTTATGGTTATGGTGCCACCAGAAGCATTTTTTTAGTTCAGTAACTAAGGTATATTAATTTACTCATTCGTAGCTTGGCAAATATTAATTACAGTCGCATTAAAATATTGGGAGATCAATTGATTTTATCGTTTTGCTCCATAAGAATCTATTATAGAAGCATAATATATATGATTTAATGTAAAAAGAACACATATGATCTTGAAATCTTGAGGGAATATGGTGTCAAGGGGAATTTTCTGTTCATCGTTTTACTTGTCCCTTAGGACAATTGAACTGTATCCTTAATAGTCATTTCCTGTATTCATGAACAGCAAGAATATTTAAGTATTCTTATTTAATAGTTTACCTAAAATTTTTGTTGATAGATTCGTTCTATTGATTGCCATTTGCAATTTATATAGAATCCTATATATATTAGTTTGTGCTTAGTGTTAAATACATCTTTTCAATAGCAGTAAGAACTTTTACAAATGTTTTCCTATGTACATGATAAATGTTATGTGTATACATACCTAATTATACTGAAGTAACAGTGATGTACTGTGCAAAATTGTAGATTCATTTAAACAATTCACTAATGTAATGTCAAAAATATTTTATTTAATCAAAAAACAACTCATCAATAGTAATATATTTGGTCAATCTAAAAGTTTATGTTAACCCTCTAGTGTTAAGGTGGAATCTCGGAGACTTTGCTAATTCTACTTTTCACATTCTTCTCTTTTCTATAGTTTCATGAATTTAAGTTAAATTTTGTGTAGTTAGTACAATATACCTTTGTACTCTGTGGCATTTATTAGGAAAATATATAACTAAAATAAAACAGTAAAAAGAATTGTCAGGAATCTTGTATATTTATGTGTACAGTGGATAAAAAAAGTATTCGACATAACATAACTTTGACCTCTGTTTTTCAAAGCGACACCTGCCTTGTGGTTTTTTTAAGGCCATGTGGACAAAAACACCACAAACAAATTCTTATTATTATTTTAAGATATGTACTAATAAATACCAGCAAGAATTTTTAGTCTAAGTGTTATAGTTATCTTTTTTTTAAATCCAGAAGAATGCGGTTTTTTCGCGTGTTTACACGAGAATGTACCCTTAATTGATTTACCGTGTTATTTTTATTGGTTCTTACAATCTGGGGATACTCCTTACTTTTATCATATATATAGTATCTTTTTGAATTGTATAGTATTATATGAAATGTAATAATTACTATTTCTTTGTAGATGAAAGCACTCTGGATGCAAAGGTGCCTGTGCGCTTTAGACTGGGTCTCGGTAAGCAAGTGCAGGATACCAGAGAGTCTAAAATTTCACGGAAAGCATCGAAAAGACAGGGTCGCAAGGTAAAGCACAAAGTCAATTTGACTCTAACAAATGTTGAACATGCTTTATAATATATCAATTACGACTTATTAAGTGTATATAATTTATATATTTGAATTCTTCTATAAGAATAATATGTACATACAATTCTAATATTGTGATATTTTAAGTAATTAGGAATGTAATTTATCAATATTTTTTATTTTGTTACACCAATTGCCTTCAATAATTTAACCATCTGGAATAATCGTTGAAATGTCATATACATAAAAAATAAAAAAATAGCGACTTAGTTGAATGTATATATACTCTATATGTAAAATAATAATGTCACACTAAAATTTTCTGTTGTCTAATGAATGAAAATTTTGTAATTGCGTAAAAGAACGAAACAGTAATTATAGATTATTATTTGGTATTAAGTAAAAGATTTATACTATTGACATCACTAGTAAATTAAATAATACAGTAATGGCTCCCATAGTGTGCTCAGCTCGTAGGTATCTGTATACTTATTTCAGGTATATAGTCTTAATAATTTGTCTCAAAAATTTCCATAATTATTTAATCAAAAATCAAATCTAAGGTTATAAAAAAATGTTCAGCATATAATTCTCTCTTCGGTCTATTTATGGTTAAAGACATGTTTTCTTTTAGCATAGTATATAGGTTATTTCACAATATTGTCTAAATTTCTCCATGGTAAAATTTTGGTCTATTGTGACAAATTCTGGTCTATTCTGACAAATTCTAGCCAGAAAACTGCGAAGAATTTCTTTGTAAAGTATTTTATTAACAGTACTACACTATAGCACAGACAAGATATAAGAATAGACCTAACATGCAATGTAATTTTCGGTCCAATGTTTCGGGAGCCTTGGTAGCCCCCGTACCATATCAGTATTACATTCCTTGCTAGCGAAACCGAAGCAATAATGTATGTATGTATTACTATATGCAGTCACGGGTGTGTGTGTGTGCTGTGCGTTATCACGGTGTCGAACGTAGTTCCTAAAATCGGAAACTTTCATGGAGAGGTGTTAGGCCCATAATATGTTAGGTCTATTTTTATATCTTGTCTGTGGCTATAGAACGAATTCTTAGTGAATAATTTTGGGTTTTAGAAAAAGTGACTACAGTATAAGTATGCTTAATGAACGATCATTAAGCACTTGCTAATAATAAAATAAATCCGAATGAAAATACCTGGATATGATGTCTTGGAAAAAGATGATATCTTTACAAAACGTGGTTGGGTAGGTCAAATAAAGTAAACAGTGTTTTACCAACATAGTATAATGCATGCTAACTACAAGTAGAAATGTAACTGCACATATGGCACAACAAATGTATTAATCACTTTTAGTGTAAGTAAAAAAGTGGACAATCTAAAGATTTGTTACAATGTTTTTCTAATTAGATTTGTATTGCCACTATTATATTGACAAGACATTTGTACTTTACTTGACTTTCCATATCACCACCTTTAGGAAGACTACCTTTTCCTGGACACTGGAAATTATAAACAGTAGTCAGTACGACGTATATATGTTAAATCAATGAATAGCACTATTTTTTTTTTATAAAATATTGCAAGAACTGTGTGATCAATCTATTTATATGTTCACTTTGTTAAGTATGTAATTTTTATCTCGGTTAGTACCTATTTTCGGTCTTTTTACTATCTTTTGAATGATTCTGACTAATCTCAGGTATTTTCGAGTGCAGAAGTGGAGAGAGAGAGAGAGAGAGAGAGAGAGAGAGAGAGAGAGAGAGAGAGAGAGAGAGAGAACAAAGTAAACGGGATACCTCGTATTGATACATTAATTACTGATGCAATACAAAAGATTTCTTAAGAGTCGCGCATCATGGGCGCCAGTACAGTATTAGCAAAATCTGATAATATAAATTATGTAATCTGAATATAGTAAATTGTTCATTTTGTCATAACTTGTCATAACGGAACCATTTATAAAAAAAAGGAGACCTTCACAATTTAGTTATATTTATGTTTAAAGTTTTCAAATTTGTGAATAAATAAGTATTTGGACGACAGTACTACAGTAGAATAATGATAAATATTACCTCATGGGTAATACTTAAAAGTATTTTTGAAGTTTGAATCCAGATAAGCAGTTGTAACATGGCCATCATGAAATTGTTGAAATAGATATACTTATAGTAAATAAATAATGAAAGATCAACATACTCAGATTAAACTGATTTTGCTTTTAACCCTTGTGTAGGCAACTGGGTATCTGGGTACCCAGGTACCCATTCTTAAATTTCTTTTCACATTTTTTTATGTTGTTGTTTAAAACAGCACTTGGTATATTATAGGAAAGGAAAACTAAGAGTTTCGGAAAAGTATGGAAGTAAAATTATTCCGATTGCTCAATAATTGTGAATATTTTGGTTGCCCACACAAGGGTTAAAGGAGTTCCTATTTGAATTGTTGTACACTCTGTGGTAAAATGATATCACATAGTGAACATGAAATAGTCTTTTTCCTAGTAATGTGGGAGAAAATTGGCCACTTTTTGTACTATTTTTCAAGAATTTAATATGTTTATATGAAAAATGGTTGTGATAAAATGATGACAGAAGTATGATAATTTACAGGAAACCTTAAAAAGCAAAGAATAGAAAGTTGTGCCATGAACTTTTTTACATGCCTTGTACTATTAGCATTGATTCGCTTAAAAAGAGATAAAAAAAAATACTATGTACACAAATGCTGCATATGAGCAAGCAATACAAATACAATGTGTTGTAATATAACATTAAATATAATATTTCATACTACATGATATATTCTTAGTGGAATACATGTATTAACCTTCATGGAACACTTACAAATGAACTGGTGATACCTTTGTTTACATGTAAATTATCAAATACTTTTGCTCAGAAACTTTCTTTTATTACTCAGAAATCGTCCATTGTGTGTATACTTTCCATTATTGAACTTGATCGAAGCACCTTAATAGTGTCTTCAAATCGTATGACCTGTTAGATGCAGTATACAGTTTCGGTGCTTATATCTGAAAAATATCAGTTGTTGATAATCAATAGACATGACTCCATTGATACTCAAGATCTCTACTGTATGATATTCTATAATATTTTACAGAATCATGATATTTGTTCCATCAAAAATAGGTAAAGTGCCATTAAATATAGTATTTTCACGTGAATTTTTAAGATTTTGGTCCGGGTGAATAGAAAATTTTGAAGACTAGAACCGTCTCTGATGAGTTGAGAATGATTCTTTCCTACAGCTAACCTAACTTTGCCACATTTTTGCTGTCTGACATGGATAGTAAATAGGACACGTTGAGAGGGACTGATGGGCATTAGGCAGGGACTTGTTGAACAACTCTTTGTACTTTAATGTGGTGTAAAACTTGAATACTCGTGTATCAACTATTGATGTAATTTGCAGTGTTCTTATCTTATTGTCATATTTTCATGAAACTGTAGCGATCGAGAAACGAGGTTTCCCTTGTAAAAATTCCTGAGAGAATATTCACAGCTGTTCTCTGCGAATCTTTGACAGAGAAGTGATGTATCACGCGATCCATTCAGACTACAGTTTGTGGCTTGTTTTATAGCTCTATAATGAGTCGTTTGACGAAATGTCATCTTCTGATTTCGAAGTAGCAGAATTTCTTTCTGTTATTCAGCCGTAATATACTACCCTCAACTCATTTCTATTGTTAAAGCCTACAACATACAATTACTCATAAAAGTATCTGTTCAACTTATAGCACATCTTACACCTTTAGACAATATTGAAGTGAAAAATATACGAAATTATACATTGCTTACTTAAAAAAGTGTTGTTATCGGTGGAAGTAGCGTAAATATCTGTCTAAATTCAATGTTTATTTGATACACTTTATTTGCACTAAATACTTTATCGAATATGCCTGCGATCTTCCTATAAGTTTTAGTCCGTTAAGTGGTTATGCCTACCTGCGTGCTCGAAAAAAGACATGTACTTTCGGAATTTATTTTTAAAAAAACTTCAATACTATTTTAAACATACGTCATTGTATTCGAAAGTGTACATTTTAAAGTGCTTATAATAATTTTTTCAATGCAAAATATGAATAAATAGGGGAAATATCAGCGATTTCCCGGCGCCGTTTTTATTTTGGGCGTTTTGTGGTGACCACTGTAACTTTGAGTTCGTTTATCTAAAATAAATAATCCGAGCAAATTTAGTTAATATACTAAATTATCTAGTCCCCGATCGTTCATTATCCTGAAAAATTAATTTACAACAAAATGGCGGCTGTTCAAAATCGAAGTATCGATTTTCGCCAAAAAAACTACGCAATGAAATACAAAAAGCCACGATCAGGCACTAGATTTTTATGTACAGAATGAGTCCACTAAAGCTAAATCAGTTCGGTGCAGCGGTTCTCGAGATATTTTGATTACCGATTTTGAAAACGTAGTTTTGAGAAAAACACGTTCAAAGTTTCAAGTTAGGTTTACAACCGAATCAATGCAAATTTTTTATATATAGTTATTTTTAATATTGCGGCTTCATATAGCTTTGTGTATTTACTAACAACCATAAATTGCATTGGGTCACAGTATTCATGACTCACGCACCCCTAGTAAGGGATTCTACCACTTTAAATCTGCTCCGAAACTTCCAAGGCCGTATACTTTAAACGGGCGTAACTCCGCCAATTTTTCTCGGATCAACTTCAAACTTTCACACAATATTTCTAAAATAATGTACTATATAAAAATATTAAAACCCAAAAATTGATTTTTTCAAAATGTATAGGTAGGCATAACCCCTTAACCCCTTGACATACGAATAAAATGCGCGTTGACGCGTCCGTAGAATACCATTTAATTTGGCTCAATAGTGAACGCTCTTGTACAAGGTCAGAACAGGGCGTTTTATTTTCGGATTTACATTGTTATATAACATTCAATAAGGTTGATATATAGTGTTAGTGTACAATAATTTATTAAGTAATACTATAAAATAATAATTTAGTACTTTTCTAACGTGTGATACATCTCAAAGCATTTAGGAATATGTAGCGGAACGAGGCATGTTTTACATTGCTAAGTCGTTTCACTTCTTATATTATGTTTTTTGCACACATGACATCGTTTTGCAGGATGTTGCTTTTTATTTGTCGCAGGTATATTTTCGGGAAAATGTGCCCAATGTTTTGCTTGTAATCGAGTTGGGCATTCACTTTGCGACGGTCTGCCGCGTGTCGGATAGTTTGGAAGGGACAAATTACAGAGCATACTTTCTGCAATATTCAATCGAAAATTCACAATCGATTGCTTTTGTGAAGTAGGCAACTTTGAATATAAGACATAAGCATTATAAATAGCTACGTCAAACATATAAAAAAATATTTTTTTATATCCTTTTACACACTTTCGCATGAGAGGGAAACATGCAAGACATTGGTTTTGCTTGTCGACACCTCCTATTCCTCGATTGTACGAGGGCGGATTGAAAAGTTTCCGGAATGACAATGAAAACGAAATAAATCTGTTCTAAGTTATACTTTATTTTTCAACATAGTCCCCTCGGAGCTCAATACACTTGGTCCAACGTTTCTCTAGTTTTTCTACTCCCACCCGGAAGTGACTTTCTTCGAGATCACCAAAATATTCGTTCATAGCCTCCATCGCCTCCTCGTTCGTCTGATATCTCTTTCCAGCTAGGAAGGTTTTGAGTTTCGGGAACACGTGGAAATCCGAGGGCGCTAAATCAGGGGAATAAGGTGGATGTGGAAGAATTTCGAACTTCAGTTCTGACAATTTTTCTTGCGCGATTGCACTTGAATGGGCGGGTGCATTGTCGTGATGAAACAACACTTTTTTCTTCGCCATTCCGGGGCGATTTTCTCGAATTGCAGCTTTCAGCTTGTCCAAAAGCATTCCGTAGTATTGGCCAGTAACAGTTTTTCCTTTTTGAAGATAATCAATAAGCAAAATTCCTTTAGCATCCCAAAATACGGACGCCATCACCTTTCCAGCCGAACGAATGACTTTTGCCTTTTTCGGAACCGATTCAGTAAATTGTTTTATATTTCAGTAAATTGTTTTATATTGACAATATTTTCTTCTTCTTTCCAGTTCCATTCATCCTCTGTGTCAGAATCTTCACTGCTCGAAATAGGTCTTGCACGTTTACGCACATTTTGTTGAATAGAGCTAGCTTCACTTGAATTTGAAGCATCACTTGAATACTCAACAGCATAAACACTTTGATGACCATTTTCAATTTCATTATCACCACTAGAATAGCCTAATAGACTTTCGTCGTCACTTACATATAATGCATTCAACTCAGACATGTTGGGAGAACTATTTCTAATTTTACAAAATTCAAATATATGGTACGGCATTCAGCGTGCGAGATCACTGTTATACTAACTACCGCTTCCAGTGCGCTTCTTTCTGTTTATCTGTTTGCCGATGCGATTTTGTTACCGATATTATTGAGAGGGGGAAAGCATCTTCAACTGTCTAAAAAAAACAGCATTGATGCACGGCCCAAAACAGATAATCCAATAATATTATACTGCCCGGTATTCGCCGAAGAGATTTCTTGACGTCTCGGAGACGTCAAAGTCTACCATGGCACATGAAATACATGACGTCTTAGAGACGTCATTGTATGTCAAGGGGTTAAGCTAGGTGTCCATTTCAGAGTAAAACTATCGCCAGTTGCTCTCGAGTCCAAGTGCATCGCTCAACTGTAGGAGAGTCCTAAGTCGTAGTCGCAAGACAGGCTTCGTCGTTGACATAAACCACACACAAAGGAGTTTAAAAAAATTTCTTTTAAATAAATAGAATAGAAATAAAATGTTAGCATTTAAATATACGTGTATATGTATACGAAAAGGTAGCCAATCGCGAGTAGAGATTACACGGGCTTATAATAAAAGAGAGAAGTGATACAAGAGAATCAAAGAAAAGTATATTGCAGGTAATATAATAGAATTAACGTTTCGACTAATTATTAATCTTCGCAGGGGGTTCACACATCTCTTATCACGGCAATTAACGTACCTACACGGTGCGCCGCTATTCCTCGCGCGGTAAATTCAAATTTCGCTTATTTAGCCGGGTTCGAAAATTTTGCGGGGCCTGAATACACATTCATTCCTACACTTAAATTTTCCAACGAGGAATTATTTATTTACAAATGCTGTTACATATTATATATTTTTTATAAGATGAATATTAAATAATAATACAATCCAATAATAATATTAAATAATTTTTCTCGCTTTTTTCGACGACAAATCTTTGATAACATCATCAAAATCGATTGAATTTGCTACTTCACTTTCTATTGACAGAATAGCCAGAGATGAAAATCTCTCTTGGCTTATCGATGATCGCAGATAATTTTTTATTAGTTTCAACCGCGAGAAACTACGTTCTGCTGAAGCCACGGTTACTGGCGTCGTTAACATAATTTGTAATGCGATTAATAAATTTGGATATGCTTCCGAGAGATTGTTCTTTACAATGTAATTCATCGAATCTAAAGCCGAATAATTGGTTTGCGTTATTGACCGGAACATCTTAATTTCTTCAAACATTTCAGTTCCGTCGAAATCTCCTTCCAAATGTAAGTGAAGATCTTCACAACACTTTAATAAATATTCATCATCTAAATTCCCAATCTCATTCATGTATAGAAAACCAAAAATATTTTGGTGATTTGCATATAATTCGAATCTACTTTTAAAGGATACTAACGCAGTATCTATTATTTTTAAAAAGTAATGTACACGGAAGTATTCTTTGTCGCTGATCGTCGATGATTCATCCTGTCCATAATCGAATAATTTCCATTTTTTGCCCCTGTATGATGATTTGAAATCTGGTATTATGTCCATTTCCTTTACAACTTCATTTGCTGCGATCATAGCTTTGCTAAATCCTTCATTTCTGTATTCCGCAAAGAATACGTTAAGACCTTTCAGATGCTTCCTGGCCAAATCGATTTGCATCTTTTGATTTTGCAATACTTTGCTGACGATGTTAATTTTTGATAATATTTCGTACCAAATGATAAGACTGGCAATAAATTCAAATTCATTTATCTTGCGCACTATAGACAAAATTTCAATTTTCAATTTATTGTCAGATGCGTTGTTGCCAATTTCGATCAAGGCATTTCGAAATTGGCGAACTTGAAATCGAATAGCCTTCACACTATCAAAACGGCATTCCCACCTAGTTTCTGATAATGGTTTAGGTGTAATTTTTTCAACGTGTTTTTTTAGAACATCCCAACGCGATGTCGATGCTGCAAATATCGTGTAAATCTTTTGTAAAACACCAAAAAAATGTAGTGCTTGGGTTGATGATTTTGCTATATCTCCCAATAACAAATTCAAGTTGTGACTACCGCATGGTACGTAAAACGCTTTAGGATTTACACATAATATATTTGCTTGTACTCCTTGATATATTTCCCTCATATTGGCACCGTTATCATATCCTTGTCCGCGACAGTCGGATATTTTTATTCCCAACTGATCCAGAATGAGCATGATAGTTTCAGATAGCCCTTTTCCTGTTGTATCGTAAACTATTTCAAATTTGATAAAATGTTCCTTGATTTCGACCTCCTCGTCTGTTATGTTGACATAACGAAGAACAACCGATAATTGCTCTTGATGGCTCACATCTGGTGTACAATCAAATAAAATGGAATAATATTTTGCTCTCCTTATTGCATCGATAATTACTTTTTGTACTTTATTTGCCATTGCACTTATTAATTCGTTTTGAATTGAATGCGATAAATAATGTTGCCCTTTTATGGCTGTTCTGTTTAAATGATCATTTAGAACAGAATCAAATTTTGCAATTAATTGTATTAAACCCAAAAAATTACCATTGTGCGGTGTGTACAAAGTATCGGAACTTCCTCGGAAAGCTAAATTATGTTGCGCAAAATATAAAATAACAGCAGTTATTCTTTGGAAAACTTGTTCGTATCGTGCCGTTTCAAGTCTTAAAAATGTTTCGCACTCTTTATCAAGTAGATTGCCAGTGCGAAAATTTTGTTCAGTTTGAAGCCACTTGTTTATAGCTCGTAAGTGGACCGCAGATCGTTCGTGCATTTTGATTCGCTGTGTTAAATGAGACCAATCGCAAAATCCGTCTGCCCCCAATAAAATATCAGTAGTGGAAAATAATTTACAAGCGAAACAGTAAACCTTATCTTTAGATTTAGAATAAATTAGCTATCTTCGTGTTGTCCTTTGTCCATTCGTCAGTATTCTTGTAAAATATGTTGCAGAAAAACTCCTGTTATTTTCGTTCTTAGGGAAGTTAAATTGAGTAACTTGTACAGGACCATGCTGATCTCTTAAATTTACTGTTTGTTGTGTTCTGTTAATTGGCCACGTGCTAGGATCTTCAATGTCGAAATTTCTGTTTTCCTCTTTTTGTGCTTCAATTTCCATATTTTCAATATCTTTTTCTTGATGAGTTTCACAATCGCTCGTTTTTCTATTGTTTCCATTTTCGTCGGTGTCTTCTTCATTTTCCTTCACAGGTGTATTCAACTCTTGGTTTTCCTCTTCCAAAGGGATCTGATTCATTGCCGTATGTTCTTCACCTTCGTTTGGCTGTCTTGAATGACTAGTAGTTTCAATTACATACTTCAAAAAGTTGTTTGTTTGCTATTTAATATAATCGTCTCGCTGCTTCTTCCATTTCAGTTTTTCAGCCCCACTTAAGTATTTCCGTCCACGATCTCGATCCTTGCTAGCCATAGCGGTTCTTAAAAAAACATATTTCTGTGTATAAAATTTTGTCTGTTACAAAAATGAATAAAATCGCGTGCCAAAAAACATTTACTGCAAGATAGGATAAACTACATATTTCATTAGTTTGTATATAGTGGAAACATTTCTCTGTTCTTGTTCACTTTATCGAAATTTTAACATTTGGGGCGAAATTAATTTAATAACGAATTCAAATTCTCAACTAGTTATATGTATTGGATTTCAGTTGTATGACTGCCATACGTTTTTTCTGCGACGCGATTTCAATTAGGGTTGATTTTAACTTAAAAGAGGGGAAATAATTGAAAAAAAAATACTTACCAGAAATCAAACGTTTTGAAAATGTATATGTCACGGTTTATATCACAATATAACTTTGAAAAATATTTGTCGTCTTAAATTTACCGAAACTTAACGATCACAGTCCTTGCCACGCGTCGAGAGATTGACTAACGCTTAGCATCGAAGACCGTAGCAATGCAATATCCTGATGCGTTTTTGTTTAAAACATATGAACCGCAAGACGTCAACTGACACACAACCATTAATAAATGCCAGTTCCTATGCAAGTTCGTAGGAGCTGTGACTCGTCGACAGATTTCCAAAATATTGGGGAGTCTTATCTCTATTTTTTTAAGCAGTTTTTTAAACAAATCCAAGTAACATTTTTTCGCATCCATAATTCGCTTTCAAGGGGCAAAAAATTCAATGAAAGTACAAAATCTGTAATCATGTATGACTTTTGCAAAAAACTATTGATGTAGTTTAATTTCTCTAAAAAGTAAATTTCTCTGAAAGCTTCTAGATTTTTTATCTAAAGTAGTTTCCAGGATATGAAGACTTTATGGACTTACACTGAACTTTGATGATTTTTGTCACTCCTTTAAACTGAATCATCGCTACTAAAAAAATGTCTTGCATCTGTTAATGGTATCATTATTCTGTAAAAAGTTAATCAAAATCGGTGTTTTTTAACCTGTTAACCGGGGAATTCTCTTTTTAATTACGCAACATATAACGGGCGCGTACTCTTTCACTAGGACGTGTCAGTACGTCACGCCCCGAGGACGTAATTTCATATTATTATTTTTTTTTATTTATGCTTAAAATAAATGAAAAGACTGTGAAATATATATTTTTTCGTTTATTTATATATAAAGCACAAAGGAAAATACAAAATTACAAACAAATAGAAAATAATACCAACAAAAAAATGGAAACATCGAATTAAAAAGTTATAAATTTTACAAACAATTATAAAGATTACAAAAAAACATATATTTTTTATTTAGATACACAATAAAAAAGTTAACAATTACAGAACAGTAAACAAAAGCACACAAATAAAATAGAAATATTGAGTTTAAAAAATTAAAATATAGATGTAAAACTTCAAAACTCAACTTCCTTGTGATATATTTTAAAACAATTGTTGATACTTAGTGCTACCTTACAATCCGGACACTAGTATGTAGATTCTTTCCTAACACCTTTTTTGTAGTAAACTCGGCATTTCCTGGATTTTGTTTTTCCTATATCGCTTTTCATTTGTTGATTTTTCTGTAATTTTTTTGTTTTTATTTCACTGGGGATTCCGACTCTGTTTATCCTCATTGTTCCAACAATGTCTGTATTGTTTTGACACAAGAGTTTAGCCAAATGAATTGACGTATAGAAATTATCTAAGTAAATCCTATACCCTTTATTCAGTAAGTCATATGTTAACTCCAAAAGAATTCTTGTTGATTGTTTTTCTTGTGGGTAGTTTGAACCATAATTTTTGTCCTTGCCTGTGTATAAAATTATATTTTGTACGTATCCAGATTGGCTTTCACTCAAAATAAACAACTTCATTCCAAATCTAGCTCTTTTTGTAGATATATGAGCCGTTTATTTTGAAAGTGGCCTAAGTCCATTTATACTTAAATTGAGATATTTAAGGGTTTGTGTTTCAATGCAATTAAAAATATACGTACAGGATACTAATGAGTCATACTGCTTAAGTGTATCTAAGGGTGTTAAATTTATAGTTCCTATTAAAATAGTGGCTATTATTAAGTGAATAATATGCGTTTTCTTATCAAGAATGGAGTTAGGCCACTTTCAAAATTAACAACCAGATTCATTATAAAATTTGAAGGTGCCCAAGTCCATTCAACATAATTTAAGATGCTTCAAATTGAAAAAAACAATACTCAATTTATTGTACATATCTTTAAAACACTTCGGAAACAATTTATGCGATTCAAAACATTTTTTAACTACATAACGTACAAAATTAAAAACATAAATTTATTACAAAACAATTTACTACTCATCTACATTTTGTGTGTGTGAAAGGGATTTGAAGAAATCATGATGTTCCGGTGGTATATGTATATCGTAATAGGTCAATTATGTCCTTGAATTTTGCTGTTGTAATTTGTCTGATATTTTTATACAGTGGTGTCAATACAATATTTTCGAACTTTCTTGGTCTACCCCGACGTGGTAATAAATTCAGGACTTTAAAATTTTCATTCTCATTCATTGATGTCTTATAGACAATTTTATACGGTTCATTTCTGACAAAACGCATCCAACATATTTTTAACCAGTTTATTGATTCTCCATCAGAATTCTTTACCCTTTTAAAAATTGCGTCTTCTAATAATTTTGTTGATACAAAATCTTCTTGTCTCATTTCATTTACAATAAAGTTATTACCTTTCCGACACTTTTTAATAATATTGTAATAATCTTGGGGAACGAACAGTAAATTATTTTTTTTTAATGACATTTCTACCACGCCAAAATCTCTATCATTTGGTAAAAACGAATGTCCTGATATTAAAAATTTGTGATCTATGATTTCCACATTATTTTCCAAAGTTTGGACAATTTTTAACCACATTAAAGCTACTTTAATGTTTCTATTTTGCCCGGTGCATATGTCACTGTAAGCTATAATTTGTCTTTCACTTCTTAAATTTTTAACATGTTTTAGGATGCGTGAAACAATTTCTTGAGCACCTCTGGATGCAATAGTTTCATCCCAAACGTACAGTGGCTCACGAAAGTATTCGAACATTTACATTTGCAAACTTCAATGGCCGAAATAATATACATTAAACTAATTTGCTTAGACAAGTAGATATCAATAGTAAGATGGAAGTCTCAAGATTAGGTCAGTAAAATTTGAAAATGATTCAACAACGTAGGCAAGGGTTATGATATATTTATTAGAAAAACGCATAATAAGTGACTCACAAAAGTATTCGAACGCTACATATATTATTACATTATTTAATATTAATATTTTGTTGGACCACCTTTAGCAGTAACGATGTGTCTCAATCGACGTTCCATACTATAAACTAATGATTTTGTAAAAGTACACTCAATGGAATTCCATACTTCTATAATTTTTTGTTTCAATACCTGCTTCGAAGTTATTTGATATTTATTTAATCTTTTGCCGATTTCAGCCCATAAATTTTCAATCGGATTTATGTCTGGACTTTGCGGTGGAGTAATTAACATATGTGGTGTGTTATATATGATCCATTGTTTCACAATTCCAGCAGTATGCTTGGGATCGTTATCTTGTTGGAAGTGGAAGTCTTCCAATAATCCTAATTTACGGGCACTTTCTTTAAGGTTGTTCTTTAAAATATCTAAATACTTATATTTATCGAGTATTCCATCAATAAATACCAAATTTCCGGTGCCACTTGCTGCCATGCACCCCCACACCATAACCGATCCACCTCCGTGTTTCACTGTTTGGTGTAAATTTTGAATTTCCAATTCCGTATTTGGTTTTCTCCAAACATAATTTTGACCATCTGAACCAAATATGTTAAATTTAGATTCATCCGAAAAGATGACTTTATCCCAAAAAAAATTATCTTTATTGATATATGCTTTTGCAAAAGCCAGTCTTTTTTTTCGATTTACCGCATTAATATACGGCTTCTTTCGTGGTACTCTGCCATGAAAATCATTATTTCGTAAGATTCGTCGACATAATTCGGGATGAACTTCTTTATGAAACATATCAGCTACCATGTTTGCGAGTTTAGGGGCGGATATAGTAGGATTTTTTTTTACTTCGCGAATGACAATATTCTGTTCTCTTTCAGTTAATTTCTTTGGTCGACCTGATCGAGCTTTGTTCGCAATTGTTCCTTCATTTTTTGATTTTTTTATAATATAATGTGTTGTGGACTTACTTCTGTTTACAATTCTTGCAATCTCGTTATATGATTTTCCATCCTTATGCAATCGAAGTATTATTTCTCTTTCACACTTTTGTGTTTCTGACTTTTTGGTCTTCATTTTAACTATTA